ATCAGAAATTTTACAGATCGGAGTTTGTTCTCGCGGTACTTGGTTCTTGATACTACTTTTATATTTTTCTTGATAAAAAAAATAACATCTCAATAAATTTATTAAAACTGTCGTTCGGAGTCGGACAAGCATTTGTACGTTTATAGAAGCGATTTTACATCGCGCGAAGCAAAGAGAGAAAAGCGAGAGGTACCTCGATCATTCTGACGGCGATTTTATCTGAGCAGTGCAATGCTATAAACACGTCGTGTATCTCCGTCTTCGCGTAGTACAAAAAGACACGCTCGACACTTGGACTGGAGATCTCTTTACCTGTGCGTTTTTGTGTCCGATCCCTCGGGCGTTCTATTTTTCATCGTCGCGTTGCCGGTCAGTCAACCGACAGGCACGACGAAGAGAGGACACGATAAGGCCCAGCGCAGCTCGCGGTTGAGAGCTGTGCTAGTGCGACCTCACGAGCATTCTCCCAGAGCCTCGTGTCGCTTAACGACGTCTATTCTTCGACCCCCGTGAGGTGCACCCGTGACTCACGGGGCCTCACGTGACTCATTGTCAGTCACGGCACTCTGACTCGGGTCTCCTCCTTCTTCCTCAAAACGCGCGCGTCTCCTCGCGCACGGGAACGCGCGTGAAACAGCGCGTATCTAGAGTCCCATTTTACCTAGGGCCCCGCGGGAACCAGTATCGTAATTACACTCTCCGCTTTTCTCTCTCTTTATCTCTTATTCATTCTCTCTCTTTTCTTGTTCATTTGCAGTGAGAATTTCGCTCGGTGTGTAAATTTCCTGTAAGAGCACCTGTCATTCTTCATTATCTACGAACTAAAAATGTGCAATGAGCGCCGCGGAGGATTGTTATTTTTTATGTCACATTTGTCGGGTAACGATAAAAGTACACTTCCTCCGCGAGCAGCTGCGCGCCAACGTGGAATTGCTACGCGGGAAAAGTTTAAACTGCGGCGTGTGTTAGCTTCTGTTCCTTGTTTGTTTGACACAGTTCTGAAAGTTATTGGCAATAACAACGTTTGTATGCGTATAATATTGAACGCGAAAGATATACAAGTAAAAAAGTTTCGAGAGAGAGAGAGAGAGAGAGAGAAATCGAAAAAGTATTACACTGATATAACAGCGCGCGCTTTTATAATACTTGTTTTTTGATAAAAAAAATCTTGTGTTGTATCAAGATTGTAATTATTATAAGTTTTTTTTTTATATATTCTACATGCAACATAATGCGCAGCTTATGTGAATTTCGTGAAAATGTTTTACTTCAATAATTCACACAGTTATTGATTATCGCGGCATCGTTTTAAACGTCAAGAATCCGAATTCTAACTAAAAACCTCTCGAGCGTAGTCAACTTACTCGTCAAGTGGGCGCGCCAAGGTCTAATACATCACTGTTCGGTTGGAAGATCGAGCAAGAAGCGAGTCTCTCGGTTCCGAGGATCGCTGCGAAAAACAGGACTAGCGAGATGTTTGCCGCACGGCAAAACTACGTCCTTGCTTAGCGTTACGGCACGTTAGCCTAATGAATGTTTTATGAATTACACGCTTGGCGAAAGTACGGACTTCTCCCGGGAAGAGCTGATGGCTACGAACGAGGATTCAAACGTGACGGCAAGGACGTTTTCTTGCTTTCACACCGGAACATGACGTGCATTGTCGCGCGACGAGACTCTTACCTCTAAGCAACGAGGAAAGGTAGACAATAACGCATTTCCGTTTTGCTTCGTGATCGAAAAACGCTGGCTAAGATGAGAGCCAAGGTCTTTACGCATGCATGCAAGCAGCTCTTTCTTAATAATTACAAAAAATATGTATTTTTAATTTTTTAATTGTTCAATTTCTAAATTGCAATGTTTAATAAAATTTAATCTTTTTTTTTAAAATAGAAAACAATTTTTTCCTGTATAAAAAATAATAGATAATTAAAAGCCGTTAATAATAATTATAATAGTAATAAATATTGCACACTGAGATACATGACCTTCGAACAATTACGTAAATGATGTGTTTATCGGCCGCGATTTTTTTTATCGGGTCTTGCAAGTCCTGAAGTCGAAACTTTTTCATAGTCTCGATAAAAATAAACCCCTGTCTGTTTAGACAAGGAGAGAAAAGTTAATGTGAGTTTTACGAATGAAGTATTTTCGCGCGGCTTCTTTAATTAGATTGTCTCATCGATCAATTGAGACGGAGTAGATGGCGGACTTGGTCGATGCGTTATAAGATGACGCGCTTATGTTTCCCCAGTTAATAACGTCATCGAGATAACTTTGGATTTGTGTCGGCTTTTCTATCTTTAATTCCAACGCACGCGAACTTCCACCCTGTACTTGACAATCCGTGTGTGCGGTTGCTCCTTTGTCTACCTCGGTGTCGTGTAAACATTATCGATTAGCACGAAAATAAGATTAGCAAAAGGGGAGCGTGCACGCATTTTTTACTTAACTATCTGAAAGAAAAGCGTGTCCTTTGAGTGAGTAAGTGAGTGAAAGATAGATAGATAGATAGAGAGAGAGAGAGAGAGAGAGAGAGAGAGAGAGAGAGAGAGAGAGAGGGAACTTGTTAGCAGTAAATANAGAGAGAGAGAGAGAGAGAGAGAGAGAGAGAGAGAGAGAGAGAGAGAGAGGGAACTTGTTAGCAGTAAATAGATTTTATTTAATATTGTTTTTTTATTTTCACAATAGAGAGAGTTCAAACAATAAGTAATTACTTATTTTTAATTTTAAATAAATCACGTTTTTATACACGGGCATCCAGAGTATTTTCGCTCGTATTGGCTCCTATAATTTCTCTTATTTGACATTTTCACGAGCAGAAATCACTTATTTCACACGAGAGATTAACTGAAGGATATTTTATTAAAGGATATATAATATCTTTATAAAGAATTTATATTGATATTGCTTTCAAGCGATATTAAAACGTTCGCAGTTGTTGTGTAGCGCGACTTTATACCCCGACGACACGTGGGAAGTTGTCGCGGCATGCGATCTATAGGAAAACTTCGCAGTTGTTACCCCCCTCCCCTCCCCCCGTATAAGTGAGAAACACATCGTATATTGTCGACAATAACCAACGTTCTCGCGTTTTTACGATCCATCTTTACATTTACTATCTGCACAAGCCGCGTCTCGCCGAACGGTAAACTCTCACGTCGCGCTGTTCGCGTACTTATTGCTTTAATCGCGCGGAAGAGCCGGACGGAATCGCATCTTGTCCTTGTCGTAAAACGGAAATGACAATTAACGGAAGAGCGCGCGCGCGCGCGCGCACGCTCGAGCGGTTTTCTCGAAAGAAAGTCACACAGTTTTGTTCTTTTGCAAATTACGGGATTATATAATTCAACTTTTCGCGAAGCGCGACAGAGACACATAATGTAAAACCGTTCCGATCTAATCGAGCGTCCTTTGTGTTTCGAGTTTGCGACTCCCCAAATCGGGTCGGAATTTCGCTTTTCGATTTCGCTTCGTAACAACACTCAACAGCTTCCATGGCGACTAACGACCAGCGACGACGTTTCGTCCCGGCGTTACCGTTAATACGTCTTTGTCCACCGTGGCGCATTGTTCGCCACGGTAAAAGCACCCACCGGATGGCGAGTGTATGTCGTAATACACGCGAATACACGCTCTAGGATATCGACCGTTTCGCTTTACCCGTACGTATTACTCCGTTGCACGTACACGCACATACACACACACATGCACGCATGCACGCGCACAGAGACACACACAAGGTGTGCGAGTGTATACTTGGGCAAGGGCCAGTGATGGTGTATCGAACGGGGAGACTCTGCTCTGGTCGTACGCCATGCTTTTGCGGAGTTCGGCACTGGGGGTTGGACCGACCCACATCCAAATCGATCCCCGACGATTGTTTCCCAAGCCCGGTGCATACGGGGTGCTCAGCTCATTTGTTCAGCGGAACCACCATGCCTGCTGATGAGCGAAATAATTCTTCCACTCGAAACCTTCGCTCCGTTCTTCGTCTTCGTTTTGCTGCGAAACTTCGAATCTATCGATCGCAACTAAATAAAATTGTGGTTACCGCGAGAGTTTTATCTAAAGTTAAAAAAAAACAAGTGCAAGAAAGTTTCGAACGTTTATTAAACTTCGGTATCAGTTTTTGTTTTTTTTTTTTTTTTTTTTTTATCGATTACGAAGGAATTTAAATACAATTTGCGAACACCCTGTATGTTTATCTCCGCGCTTTCTCTCTTCGAATAATCTACAGCCCGCGCTTCCCTTTGGTCCGGCTGTTTAATTAAAAACTCGGGCGCGCCGTGCTCGGGCAGAGCGAGCGAGCGAGCAAGCGAACGAGGAGGGAAGGCTTCGGTTCGTTCTATTTAATGATACGGAGATGATCAGAAGGGCACTGGTGCGCCCGGTAGCCGGCTTGGCACCGACGCAACGGCTCGTAGCTATTGGTTGTTCCTTTTTGCACGAATATCTTCTCTCGGTCGAGCAAACGAAACGGGCATTCCGTTAAGTAAAATTGGCCGGGAGCTTTCGCGGACCTCGATCGTCGACGAAAGATACTCTCGCTCGATTTTTACGGCTGTACGTAGCTTTTGTTCTCCCGTCGCTTCGCAATTTTAGCAGATGTCTCCTCGCTCTCGTGGTACTGGAAATGGAATTTTCGTTGCCGAACAAAGCGAAAGTCCATTGAGTCGAATAATTCTCGGGACAAGTTTTGGTGTTGTGTACAATAGAGATTTATTTGATAAATTTTATTGAAAAAAAATGTCGCAAACGCGTGACAGTCGATTCGAATATAACAAAAATATTCAAATGACTGTGATAACATTTGTCAGTGACTGAATCTTCTCACGATGACTTCGCGATGATTACGTCATCGACCTTATCGGAGCGTGACGACTTCCCGTTGTCGAATGACTCGTTGTCGCCGTGACGATGCATCCCCGCGAACCATTGTCGTGATAATAATCCTTTGCTTGGAATCACGACGGATCTCGTTTTGCTTTATGTTGCAGGAACGACGCAGGTACACGCTGATAAATCTGGCGATGGATAAACGAGCAGCGGGTGTACTTTGAAACTTGCTTTGTGGCCGATAAAACTTCGTCGCGCTGGCATACAATCGCGCCGGCAATCCGGACCGAGTTTTCACGAGACGATGATGGAGACTCGCTCGCGTGAATCCAGGGTAGAGGGTGCGTAGAGACTCGCGCGCAGAGACAGAGAGATCAGGGAACGAGATTCCAGGATGGGGAAGTGTTGCAGCAAACGGCAAGAGCCCCAACCGATTGGTGAGTGTGTTGAATTGCTTGATATAATACGATCGATCGTATATTTACATTTGTGGCGGAAAGAATTTCGAGACGCTTAACGTAGAATATAGAAAAAGGAGCTTCCTATTGAATGTTTTTTCGTTGAATCGGTTTCTTTAAGATGAGAGAGACTACTTTTCTCTGTTCAGGCTATAAGAAAGCAGATACGGGACTCAGCTCAAAGCACAGCAATGGAGGTTCCCTGGACCGATATACCGCCGACCCGAATCAGAGAGGCGTGCAAGCTCGGGCGGATATTATCCGACCGAGGCCGACACCTTGTAAGCTACAGATACCGCATCAGCAACCCCGTAAACCGAATCCGCCTGTTAAGCCTGCATGTGTGTATTTTTATGTTATTCTGTTTTTTTTTTGCTTTTTGTAGAGAGAACGAGCGTCTGGACGAGTATAGAATCTCGTTTCGCAAGTAGATCAATCTTATGTTTCGTTATACATGTGAAACCGCTTGGCAACAGTAGTCGTTGTTTCGACTTGTTAAATATTTCTCGCCGGGAACTCGAACCGATTACTTTTGATTGGATTATATTCTCCCACGTGAAAAAAAAGTGTGTTGCTTTTGTTGATGACAACAAGAAATCAATATTATGCGTTTTTTTAATTAATAGTCTTTGTGCAAAATTAAATAGAGCTTTTCTTTCTCGAGTCACATCGCTTTATTGACCGAGCACCGTTAAATTAAAGTTAAATTACTCTTAATCGGTTCGAGCACTTGGTTACTCCTTCGCTCGGTGAACAACTTGAACAACTTGAACAACTTACTTTTCTCCTCTCTCTCTCTCTCTCTCTCTCTCTCTCTCGATACAGCGCACTCACAAAGGCTCAACAAGATCGTGGTGGCTATGTACAATTACACGGCACGAGAGAGCACCGATGTCAGTTTCATGAAAGGGGATAAAATGGAGGTTCTGGACGATTCCGAGCCGGACTGGTGGAGAGTACTGCACTTAACGACTCTGCAAGAAGGTCTGATTCCTTGGAACTTCGTGGCTGTCGAGCGATCGGTCGAAAGCGAAGAGTGAGCATTTGTCACCCTATTCTTCCGTCGGTTCACTCTCTTCTCACAATGAGTTATTGTGTATCTAATGTTGCTCTTTGCAGTTGGTTCTTCGAGAATGTATCACGCAAGGAGGCGGGCAAACTGCTGTTGGTCGATGAGAATCCTCGCGGTACGTTCTTGGTGAGGCCGAGCGAGCACAATCCACGAGGTTACAGCTTGTCGGTGAAGGACTGGGAGGAAGGGAGGGGTCATCATGTGAAACATTACAAGATTAAGCCGCTCGACAATGGCGGCTTCTTCATCGCCACTAATCAAACGTTCTCCAGCTTACCGGCTCTCGTTATGGCTTACAGCAGTGAGTGCTTCAAATTTATTTTAAATAAAATACAAATTCGAAAATGTTTTATCGCTTATTTATCTTTTATATTTTTTTAAATAAAAATGAAATATTTTATTTACACAGAAAACGCGTTGGGTCTCTGTCATGTGCTATCGAAACCTTGTCCGAAACCGCAGCCGGACATGTGGGATCTCGGGCCCGAGTTGCGCGATAAATGGGAGATCAACAGAAACGAGATACAGCTGATCTCGGAGCTTGGTAACGGCAATTTCGGCAAGGTTTACTACGGTAAGTGGCGAAACAAGATCGAAGTAGCGGTGAAAACGCTACGCCCGGGGACCATGTCGACGGAGGCGTTTCTACAAGAAGCCGCCATAATGAAACAGTTCCGGCACAGGCATCTGGTCGCGTTGTATGCAGTTTGCTCGAAGGAGGAGCCCATTTACATTGTACAGGAGTACATGTGCAACGGAAGCCTGTTGGATTTCCTCCGGAAGGGAGACGGCAAGTACATGCAGTTCGAGGATCTGATATACATCGCGGCTCAGGTAGCCTCCGGTATGGAATATCTCGAGAGCAAGCAGCTCATACACAGAGATCTCGCGGCGAGAAATGTACTGATCGGCGAGAAGAACAAAGCGAAGATATGCGATTTCGGTCTCGCTAGAGTAATCGAGGACGACGAGTACTGTCCGAAACAGGGTAGCAGATTCCCCGTCAAGTGGACCGCACCTGAAGCCATCGTTTACGGCAGGTTCAGCATCAAGAGCGACGTCTGGTCGTACGGAATTCTGCTGATGGAGCTCTTCACTTACGGACAAGTTCCTTACCCTGGTGAATGTCTTACTTTTTCTTTATGTTGCATACACAAGCATCCATGTGCAATCTGTTGGAGGGTAATTGTTTTCTTTTACAGGTATGCACGGTCGCGAAGTGATCGAGCAAGTGGATAAGGGCTATCGCATGCCGAAGCCGGTTAATCATCCGTTGCCAGACAGCATCTACCGGTTGATGCTGCAGTGCTGGGACGCAAGTCCCGAGAAAAGACCCACGTTCGAGTTCCTGAATCATTACTTCGAGTCGTTCAATGTCACTAGCGAAATACCGTATCTCGAACCGCCGACGGACTGATATACAGCCTATCAGTATACGCCAAACCATCACCTGCAACCACACGGTCATTTTCACCCAGCCCACATCAATTGTGCCATGGAATTTTATGGTATTTACTGCTAAGTAAAAAAATTATTCGGCGTGCTGTATATCTCTCGCCCTCCCTTAGCCGGAAACTCGACGGACTGGGTGCGAACTTTCTCACGGAGAGAAGAAACGTTTAGTTTTGGAGTAAACGCACACGTTCTCGCGATACACTTTGCTTTGGTGTCGCGAGTGACGACAAATTTTTTCGACTGCGAAATTTTTCTACAGATTTTGGCGACAAATCTCTTCAGGAAGAAATAGTGCTGCGAAACTTGCAGAACCATCACTGTCAGATGCTGCCGAAAATTTTACCGTAATCCCCCGTCTCTTTCATCTTTTTTCTCTTAGATGTCCTTAGTCGTAACGTAGCACCGGAAACGTCAAATGGATTGCGAAAGTTGAGCGTGTGCGTACGTGTGTGTGTGTATGTGTGTGTGTATATGCCATGTGTTTTTATAAAAAAAACATGTGTACCGTTCTCTCTCGCAGGAACGAATTAACAAGATTCTAATCTTTATGACCAATCACGCGTAATAACGTAAAAATCTCGAAGAAATGAGAACCGATTGATAATCGCACCGGGCGGCAAGTCGTGTTTTATCTACCACCTGGAAGTCCGCGATCACTTATTTAAGCATGTTTTTCGTACTTTTGAAGATGAACAACCACAATAAAGACACTAGCGAGTCGGTAAATTTAGACGCGTCACGGTATTAGGAAATAACGTGATATATATATAATAAGTTCGAAGATGAAGAAATTCGAAGTTATTAGATTATATGAAACATAATCGTATATTAGTATGTTAGATTACGAGATATATATAGATATATATATATATATATATTATAAAATGAGAGAGTGAAAGTGAAAAAAAATGTATGCTTGCGCGCACGCGCGCATGTGTGTGTGTGTGTATGAGTGCGTTTGTCACACAAGAGTATGTTATATTTATATTTTATTGATCTCGGATTGTGGCTGTATCCGAATTTTCCTAAGGATCCAAGTTTTGGATATGCAGTCCTCGAAAAAAAAAAAAAGTTTAGTGTTGCGTACGCTGTTTGCGATGACGTTATTGTGAGTCCATACTTTTAAAGCGAAGAACGTGCTCTAACGGATGCGAACTTAGACGTAAAGAATAATTACGGATTTTCGTGTGTGCAAAACACTTGTTTTGAAAGAAGCTCGAAAAGTGTTCTCGAACGGAATGGTTTACCGTAGCCGCGTGAAGTTTATTTTCGAAAAACACATTAACGCGTTCGACGGATTATTATTCCCTTCTCCTTGTTCGAAGACCGTGTGCACGAGTCTGCGTACGCTTTTGCCTGTTATTGCCGCGCAATAATAAATTTCGTTCTGGTCAAAACGCGCGCGTGAATGAGTCGGAAATGCATCGAGAAGACAAACCGAATAGTTCCGGTGTGTTTTTCACTCGGAAAAGGTTTTTCATAACGAACAACTTTTTTACTCGCTCAGCTTACTCGTTCACTCTCTTTCGAGAGTTTTTTTACTCTCTTCTCCAGAACGCGGCAAAACAAGAAACAAACAAACAAACAAATCCGATCTTAGCTTTCTATCTTTCTTTTCTCAATAGGATTATTTTGACGCAGCACACCGATGCACTTAACAATAGTGCTAAGCGTTTCTCTAAGCGTAAGTATAAGTTCCAAGTACATGTGTGAATATAGTGTTCTCCGAGCCTGACTTTAAAGCATTCTGCGGAAGCGCAGCAGTAAAATACCTCGCACAAATTCGTGTCTCTTTCATTTTGGCAGTTGCTACATGTACAGCGTCGTTCTTTCGCCAAGCATCGTTCGTCTTGTTGAAAAAAAAAAACAAAACCAAAAAAAAAAACAAAACAGAATATAGAAATTAGAATAGATGAGAGAGACGAGAAAGTTACTAGTATTCGGATAAGTGTGAGTGCGCGTGAATGCGTCCGAGGAGAAGAAAATTACGTGGTCCCCGTGAAGTCTGCCAATATATGGCGGAAGTAAAAAAAAAAAAAAAAAAAAAAAAAAAAAAAAAAAAAAAACGAAGGGGGAAGGAGAAGTAAAATCGGAAATGCAATTTCGGATAAACTTAAGTCATCGATGTTACTCGTACAAAGTATCTGAAGAATTGTAAATTTTCTACTAAAGAACACAAAACAAAAAAAAAAAAATACAAACGAGTCGGTTTTAGAATAGGAGATTCTTAGGTGATAGGCGTGTGAAAAGTCTCGTCCAGGAGATAGGCAATTCTGTTCTCTATACAATTCATTCTCCAGACGCATACCTTGGAGAGACTCGCATTCAATAATTCCACACAACATATAAAAACATTATTGCCGTTATTCCTCCGAGATACGCGCGCGAAACCCGAAACGGAATCGATTGTACTGTTGCGGTCAGATAAAGCAGCTCTGGTTAAATGTCATTCTTCTTAATTGTTTCGAAAGTAGTTGTTTATAATCTTGGTTTCTTAATCTCCTGATTATATACAAATCAGTTTGACACAAAAAAATATGATGAATTTACAATCTTACTTTTTAATTTTCCCGTTACCGTGTTGTGAATTTAAGACTCGGAAAGAAGAGAAACGAGAATTAATCAGAGCTGGCTGACTAAGTCGGTCGGTATAGTTGATCCTAAATGTATACATTTTACTGTGTCACGATAAACACGATGAGCCATTACGATACGATATAGATATTAGTGATTAAACTTAAAGTGAAAGCAAAATGTGAGTGCGTTGCGCGCATGCGAGCGTAGGAAGTTGTTACATCCGTGTCAGCGCGAATCTCTTTTCGCGTGTATTTCACCGCGGTGAAACGACAGAAATGTCATGAGCAATAACGTGACATGCTTGACATGAACTTACCCCCCCCCCTTTCCTCTCTTTCCCCATTGTTTCTTGCGATGAATAATTATATATCGCTGCAATACAAAAAAGAGACAAAAAAAGATACTTCACATCACTGCGATATCACTTTCGAAGATCTTAGTTGTTCGTACGTCATCATTGACTTTGATATATTGCAGCGATTCTTATTCCGCAAAGATTCCGGAATCCGCAAATGTAGTTCCATCTGCGAATCCCTGTTCTTTTTACGAACGATGCGCGCGGTGTGTATCCAATAAAATCGAAGCGACATTACACGCGGGAAAGTGCGCGTGAAAAGACGTTCGCGTTTACGTAGCATTAGACAGTAGATATATTACGTCCAATACATTTTTTCTATGAGCGTTTTATACCGACGAACTTGTTTTCTCATGATGAACGATCAATTGAAAAAAAAAAAAAAAAATTCGCTGATTGTCAGATGATAAGTGACGATGATCGCTGCCGTAGGTCGTAGATTAGAGATACGTAAGATTTTTGAACTGAAGTCAAATCAACATAACACACAAAAACCGGAGACAGCAATTGTCCCGAGAGATGTCGTAGAGATATCTAAAAGATGTCTAAAAGAAATTCTGTGAAAATTGAGTTCTCGCGCGGTGAACAATTTTACGATGTCTAAACATAGAAACGACTTTTTGAAGACGTTTTTACGACAAAAAAAAAATAATACTTATAAAACAACTTTTGGACGTGTTTTAGATGTCTTTCAGATTGATGTTGTATTATTTGGGACGAATTCGTGCGACCCGGTGTGTTCGCGTTATACGATATAAATATAATATATTCGCGTAGACTGTTTCATTCGGATCACATTTGGACCATGTATTTATAAATTTATTACGATAAAGAGGCGTCGTGGCCTTTTTTTCCACTGGATCTAGAGACTGATATTGTTTAAATAAAGTGTCCACATGCATTGCTCTTCGAACGTTTACTAGGAACTACACGTCCGAATTGTTCTCCGCGAGATTTCACGAACGCAAAACTTCGCGATATTCTCTTTTGGATCGTAATTTTTTTCGATTCGTTATAGTTTCACGTTAACGCTCGAAATTACACGCAAGGAAATGTGTAATCTCGACTGACCACAGCGATCGACTGTACAAATTAATATCATCCGCGGAGAGAAAAGATACACTCTGTAAACGTCACATCGCAAATTTCGCTTGTAAATAAGCAATTAAATTTTTTGTTATTCTTATAAATTTCTTAATAACAAAAGTTTTCAACTTTGTTATTAAAATATTTTTTGCCACTGGTTAATTGTAATTTAAACTTTTTAATTGTAAACTATTTAACATCTAAAGTTTAAAAAATAATATGTAATTTTTATCGAAAGACACTTCGGACGTATCGTTCCGTGTTAGTTTTCTTCTTAATTTGCGAATGGCGAGATTTAAATTGTATACGGCGACCTAAAAGGCGAGATCAGCAGTTTACGCACTATTGTACTTAATGAAGAAGACAAATTACGATTAATCGTGGATTTTGCGGTTCCTTCTTTTTTTTTTTTTTGCTGGCTTCTCTCTATCGCGACTCCATTGCGAGGTATTTGACAAATCTGTGATATAGAGACAGACTTTTCCTCTTCTCTCTCTCACGCATTTTGATACTAAGAATCATTATTGTCTCACACCCGCCGCAAAATATCAAGGAGGACGAGCGATTATCCACGATTCTCACGACGTAATCGTTTTCGAAACGGAATATATCGTCTACACGTGATGTGTGTACACCAAAACAGCCAAAAATAATTTTCCTTTACGCCTGGCTCTCTTTGGTTCGTGTTCTATTTTATAATATCGTGTATACATCACTGCGCGTCGACATGCGTTTTTTTTATTCGTACCTAACGCGAAAACGATCAGTATACTGTTGTCATTGTTTATATACCAAAGCTTATTATCATTAAGTAACTTAATGCAATTACTTTGTATTATTATTCTTATTATTATTATTATATTGATTGTCGTAAGCCTATGCAGATAAATATATTATGTATCATATTATGACGTTGCGTTTTCATTTTATGTGTGAGTGCGCATACGGAAAAACATCCTGTTAATTAAATATCCTAATTTTTTTTGTGTTTCAGATAACTGGACACAATGTTCAATTTATGCGATTTATTCTCTAAACCAAATACTCTTCTCATGTATAATACAAAAGTGTTTTACAGTTACTCCATTTTCCCTTTTATACGCTATAAAAAAAAAACAAATTGCGCGTAAACGATGTACAGAAAGTAAAAGAAATATAAGAAGATTAATCGATCGACTGACTCGTTACTGTGGCGAAGATATTATACATTGCCGCACGATTGTTGTATTTTCAAATCAGTCGTACAAAGTTCAACAATTTCGAGACCGTCTATAAGAGAATGAACATACTGTTCTTACTTGCATAGGTGTGTCCGCGTAAATCGTACATATATATGTGTATATATATATGTATATATATGTGTATATATATGTATATATATATATATGTATGTATATATATATTAAAAAATAATTTAGATAATTAAATTAGAACACGTGATGAACAGATACAATAAACAAACATAATGTCGTATGTAGAGAGTGAAGTATACACAGCCGTGAATAACTGCGTACGCAAAGTCTGCATCTGGTACATGTTTATGTAGCACGAGATATTAAGTGTACATCATTTCCGCCATCGGTGACATTTTTCTCGGAATATGCACGAATTCCTCAAAGTAAGCGGCGAGCTCGCCGATTGTGACGTCGCTCGATGACGGTGGCGATATTCGCGCCTGGATCGAACAAGTATTCGATGAACTCGATAACTGTTGTTGTCCGGACGCGCCACCACCGTCTGATTGTCCGTTGTTGTTGCTAGTGATTGCTCCTTGTTGTTCCCCGCCACCTGGACCAGGACCTCTTTTCAGATTCGGCATCGTGTTACTGCGAGCGCGCTGAAAAGTGCCGGGGGCGACATCGCAATCGTCATCTTGAATGCTGGTGTCGTCCTTGGCCTGTCTGCAGTCTTTACTGATCCTCAGCGACTTGAGATCCTTCATGACTGCATGATGGTCGATCAATTTGGGAATTTTACTGGGAATACAAAGCCTACACGTGTTCTCGAATAGCGTGTCTACTGTGTTATCACTAGGACCGCTGCTGCCGGGAGCGTTTAATTTTAGAATGGCTTCTCTGAGGATTATGTTTTTTCTCGTCTTCTCCACTTTCGTTCTCTCATTCTTAGACGGTTTGAAATTCGTTGTACTCTTGATACCTTTCGGACTAATTGAGAAAATGTTAGGCCTGCTGGACTTTCTTAAAGTTATGCAGTAGTAACCGTCAATAGCATACTTTTTCATATTGTTGAGATTCATCCTGGTCTGATCAAATTTGTCTGTCAGGATGCTGAAACAATAAAACCATTATCTCATGAGAAGTAAAGTTGCACTCATCTAATGCTTAATTATTAATTATTATTGCTATATATTGACTATGACAGTAATTGATTTTTTATAGAACATAAATTAAAAATTTGAATACATAATAAATTTTCATCGGAACATGTGACATGATTATGTACACAAGATCTATTGGAAGTGTCGTTTACATAAAACATGAAACAGGATATTTCTTGTTGGCAATATTACACGTGCATTTCTCTGTACAGATTTTCAAAAATCAAATCTTTGCACAAAGAGATAATTGATTCTACAATTTTGACTTATTTTTGCGTAAGAAAACATCTTATACGCATCATTGGTATTGTCGTGCCTTCCCTGTATCACTCTGAGTTCATCTGACACGTACATTTCCAATGAAAAAATACCAACACAAGATTACACAACTTGGAGTTTATATATTTTTTTTTTTTTTGACATTACATTTTGTTCTCTGACGTTACAAGTACGCAAAAAAAGGACTTTACAATTGACGTCACTTGGGTGATGGGACTGTCGCGATTCAACAGCCATGTGTGTGAACGGCGGCAGGAATCGTCTCTGCCGTGGCTGTGAAAATGCGAAACGTCAACAGGGATCCGTGCCGTGTCGCGCGAATTTCCGGCACAGAACGAGAGACGGGAACGACGCTTACTACGGGCAACTCCTCGAGCGACGATCAATCTCGAGCCTTTGCAAGCGCGCCGGCAGCACGTCGTCGTCCTCGTCGCCCATATCTGCCGCGTCTCGCTGTTAGAAGCTACCTTCAGCGCAGCATCGGGTTCGACAAGTGGCGCGACGACAGGTTGTCGATCCGGAATCAATCACAACAAAGCGTTTGGCGGCGCGACGACAGGTTAGAACGTCGAGAGCGATGACGATGACGACATATAACGCAAAAGCGCGCAACGATGGCGCGCACACGTAGCGAGGAATTATAAGTGTTTCTCGTCACCGATGTGATTCTTCTCCTGTCTCCTTTTCGCACGGCGATTCACTTTCATGCGACAAGTATTGACAGATACTCGACGTAAACGAGAAGACGTCGCAGCAATCTTCCGACCCGCACAAATTCGCGATCAATTAATCAGACGTTGTGATGGCGAACGTAAATAAACACTACCACTACTGCGCGAGATCACGAGAAGCCACGAGAAGCTGACTGGTAGTTTTCAAAAGAGTCTCCTAGATGGCGCGGCTCGGACGCGCTCGTCGCGCTCCGTTTTCTGATTGGTCGAGGGTGGAAATTTCTGCTTTCGTTCATGGCGGCGGCGGTTGCGGCGACGAGACGAAAGCGGAAGATCAGCGAATTTTTGAATTGTAAATATTTTTCTTTGAGATTTTATCGAACGTACACAATACCGTGTCCCAGTTAGGAATGACTACTTAAAAAGAGAAGAGGAAAGAGATCTGAGAGAGGAAATGAGGTAACCATACTGCACACGAATACGTTCTAATTTTGAATCATGCGACGATTCTAATAGCAGTACAAAACCGCGTTGAACATCTAAAACGATTGGAGATATGCGAAATACTGTAAAGCAACGCAAACAATTATAAAACAGCGTTGTAATAACGTTATGTTAATGACTTTTTGCTTATCGGGCAAGTTGTTTCGTTCGACGACGTAATGTTTGTATCAACAGAATGTATATTTTATCATTCAAATGCGACTCGCGTCCTTGAATTACGATTTTCACAAAATCTTGGAAGAGTCACTCAACATGTGTGTTTTCAAAATTTCATTAAAAAACAAATTCTCTCCTAAACATATATTTTTTATGATCATTAATCTTCCGCAACGCGTTTATGTTATCCAAAGCTATGATCTGCAATGAAAAAAAAAAAAAGATTTTAAAATATTATTGTGCTTCTTCGTCTAGCTATAATTGGAAATTATGTCATCGTGCGCGAAACTAAAGATAACTTTACGAATTTCTCTTTGCCACAAAAATGCGCGTTTACATTATTACAAATTTACGCGGGAACACAGTGAGGGTAACACGAATATTTGCGAATGTCTCTGTTGCGATTGAATATTGATGTTATAGTAATTTTGTCGTCAACAATCAATATGTCTATTTTCGTACACATATTTTATAAAAAAACAAATCTAAAATATCAAAAACTTTATATCTAAAAAAAATTAGAAACAGTTTACTTATATCTGAAGAAAAAAGTGAGTAATTATAAAAACATTATCACAAATCGGTTTGTAAAATATTGTAAATTAATACGATAGGAAGAGAGAGAGAGAAAGAGAGAAAGAGAGAGATATATATATATATACATATATATATATATACATATATATATATATATATATATATATATATATATATAAAAGGAGAGAGAAAGAGAGATGGGATAAACAATCAAATCGATCTCGTACAATTTGATAATTCGGTTGGCGAGAATCTTCGCTTTAGAGAGTGCTGACGCACTCTCTCGACCTAGCTTTATTTTAGCGTACAGCTGAAACATTTACGAATTCCCGCTGCTGGAAATCACACAGCGCAAGGAGGAATAGCGGCTCGGGCCGTTTCTCTGTTTCTCGCGAAATATCGCATGTTTTATTCGGAATTGTTTCCAATACTTGTCATTCGCTGGTATGTTAGATAGCACCGAGAGACCAGAAACACACTTGAAATATCAGTGATAATATTTATCTCTCTCTTTATCTGACGTGTTATTTATAACGCGAAACATACGATTTTATTGTATATTCTTGAGAGTTATACAATATATAATACTTGAAAACATGATGAAAGTTTACGTATATTACATTTTATTGGAATTGAGAATAAAAGTAAATAGAAAACATTGTTTGCAAAGATGCTAATTGGAAAAAGGTATCGACGATACAAGAACAATGTTCTATATATATTCCTCGCTTTTTTTTAACTATATAAAATATAATGAATTATTGTAAAATTTAAGGTCAACGCAGTGCCGGGAATTTCTCCCATTTAATCGGTTAGAAATGAGCTCTGGCAACGCGCCAAAATCACCGAGATTTCCGAGTCGATGTGACAAGAGATAGATGCACGTTGCACCTACGCATATCCGTTGCATCGGCCAGGAGGCGGTCACCCGATCGTCGGAGCGGAACACCAACGTTATGCACTCTCTTACGGTAAATTTATAATTTTACACAGACATTTTACGTTGACGCGCGCGCGAGAGAGAGACGGAACGATCTCTTTATGAATCGTATACACGGTTGTGCTGTTTATTTCCGTATATAAAATCAGCGGGTTATGTAAGTTCGCTTCCGTGATGCACTTAAGTGCATCCTCGTGTCACACAAAAGTGCCTATAAAGCGGACAAATCGAGTCGTTCGGTGAAATATAAGACTGGCATTGTTTCATGATTGACTTTAGAATCGGTCGGAATGTTGAACGCACACACGCACACGCACATAAAGAAATAAAATTCGTTAAAATAACGCGCGCTCTCTCTTTTTCATAACTTTCTTGTTAGATGAACCGCAATTACCCGCAATTACCCCCAAATATAAACTTGCTCGGGTGTAATCGCTGCGGTTGCAATCTGCGTCGGTTTCCACGTCTTACTCGGATCTATATACCTACACATATCAAGCGTGCAAGATGAACTTTTCTTTTGTTCTCCCGTTATCTAGAGTTGTTCAAATTAAAACAGAGACGAAGTCGAGTCCAAAAGATCATTTTGCTTGCGAGATGGACGGAATCGTCCTGAACTTTTGTGGAAGCGATACCGGTTGTTACCGCTTTGTACTTACGCGCTCTCCAAACATCGCTCCATGACCCAAAAGTTCATGATATTCGCGAGAAACGCTCCGGCACGCGTGGCAAGCTTGCTGAGAAAGCGGGGGCGCGAGAGATACGATGACGGAAATAATCTCAAGTAACACTGTAGCGGCGAGTTGACTTGGTAACAAGCAAGATGCTATCGTTCTGCTGCGCTCGCTATTTTCCTCAGAATCCGCCTCTGGAGCCGATGAACGCACGTCACGCCTCGTTATCTTCACCTGTGTCCGCTTGAAGAAAACGCTTGAGGAGAACTGACGATGTGTCGAAAAACAATACAATCCGCCGTTTCTTAATCTTTCTAGAAAAGGTTCCTGAAAAATTAGATAATCTCGCACAGACAATTATATTGCAATTATATTGTAATTACATTGTAATAACAATATAATTATATATCGATCAAATATCATCACAGTTTGTGTGTACGCCCAACATTACATAGATCTGTTACTTTGTGTTAGAAAGGTACACGTTAAACTGTGCATAGCTCAGCATCGGAACATACGCACGAGGATACATTTTTGTAGTAAATAAAAAAAGTAGGTGAGATTCTGCACGTGTGTGTGTGAGAGAGAGGAGATATTTCCAACTTGACGCTGATGTTGTCAAGCGTGACAGACGGCGATGACAAAATCGTGTACAACTCTTACAGAATTTGAAGACGAAAATTCATGTTCTATTCGCGCCGTATATTCGACAACTCTATTTGCTTCTTGAAACTCTACATAAACGTCGCGTATAAATTCGTGACGTTCAACGACACTTCAATGTCGTACGTAAGATTTAGAAACTAACCGCGAAGTGCTTTGCGCAAATAATAGAAACGTCGTTTTAGCAGTTGTCGACTTTACGCGACCCTGATTGATCGCAGCTTTATACCCTAAGGCAGCTTTTCAAATGTGAGCGGTAGTAACAATGTGAAACTGCCCAAGCTTGCATCTCGTTGTACAAAAATAGATGCAAGAGCTCTTGTTTTATCGAGAATTGGAGATGCGGAAGAACGCGAGCGCGTGTTCGTTCTGATGTGGAATCCTCGTTTGATGTGGAAGAGAAATATTCAATATGAGACTTAGTTCTGAAAATATTTTTATATTTTTGTCACACACGCATACGAGAATGACATAAGAGAAAAAAGAAAAGGATATATATATCCTTTATATATATATATATATATATATATGTAACATTTAATTTGATGAAATCTAATGCCAAAGCTGTAGCCGCATTGCTATTCGAGTTTCCATAATTCCATGATTTTTAAATCGCTTGACTTTTTTCTCGTTGGCCTGTTTCACGTGAACAATTGATACAAAAACAAACGTTACAATATTTAGGTGTTTACACAAATCAATATAAAAATCAACATTCACGGGATTCGCAGAAAGCTTGTGAAAAATTGCGCGTAAAAACATGAAACGCCTAACACAACCAGTTTTCGGTCAATTTCGTATACGGCATTTCCCATAAAAAGACAATATTTTACTGCGATGAAATATTGCAGTGAGAGCGCGCGATAATCCTGCAATAAAATACTACACAACCAATAGTAAATATATACACACACACACACACACACACACACAGACACAAACAACAGACACGATTTTTTAAAATAAATCGCACGAGTAGAATAAATCGACCGACATAAATTTATCTAAATGGGGTGAAGGCGTTCTCCATCCTATCGTCCTTTATCTTTATTTTCGGTACCGTCCGCCGTTCCGTTCGTCGGTCATTGACTTCGAAAACCGAATGACTCGAGTCGGAAGTGTATCATTCGGCAAAGCCGACATTCCCGACGACAGACACGACAGACGTGTCGGAAATCGGTGTTATGTTCGACGTTTGCGCCAGTGTTCGCGCTCTAGTATTCATTAATTAAGCGGCACGACGTTTATGACGAAAGTCAATATTACGCCCGGCTATGAGCCAACAAACAACCTGCAATCATCCGTAATAATAATTGCAAGAACACCAAGACGGATTTTCTTCTTGAACATTGAGATTTTCGCAAGCGCAATAAAAAAAAAAGATCGCGAAAACATGTGTGCAGGAGCAATGACCGAGATAATTATACCGTCGCGAGAACAAAAATAAAATAGAATAAAAATATACATATACACGTAACATTCTGTTATTGTTTTGTGACTGTTTTCGGCAGATAATGTTTTAGGCATTAAATATTTTGTCAGAAAAATCAAATAACGAAATTTTTTAATTTCGTTGATTATTTTTATCTTGTACAATTTTTCTGATTTAAAATGAGACAAAGACACGCACGTATCGAAATGTAGTCGAAATCTATTTTGTGAAACTGCGCGTATTTTATTGCCAATAAACGCTGCCTTCGTAGAAAG